TGTTCATTTGTCATGCTTTTTAAATAAATCTCACTTTAATCCTGATAATACCTGTATGTTTTGACTCAAAACTCTCTGCAAGGTCTTGATATGGAAAATATGCTTTGTTCCAGGTCCTAGGTCTATCTTGCACATTCTTTACCACTTAGAGAACTTTTAAAACAAATACATTCAGATAGTTGTAGAAACATAATTTTTAATGAATCTTGTGCTTAATATTACAAAGTGACAAATGAAATACTCTGACATACATACTGATTTCTGTTTCAGTATGCACTATCCATAAAATAAAAATAATCTGAGACAATAATGTTTCTTTATGTAGTTTATATTTTGACATAGGAACCAATGGAATTGTATATGTTTGAATTCATAAAGTTTGTTTATATGCACTAAAGATGTTTGAGGGTTTTATGATTTTAATTTATTCATGCAGTTTCAAATCATGCTAAAATCTGCTATACAGTAATTTAAAATCTAAAAATCTCAGGCCTTACCTGAACAAGTAAATGTGATTTTAATGCAAAAGTTAACTGAACTTAGTTCCGCTAGAATTGCATGTAGTATGCTAAGCATCATTAAAATAATTAAATTACTAGTAATTTAAATCAGTCCTTTAATTAAAATAGTGAAACAGCAAAGCATTTTCTAATAGGGCAAAGTTTAGTATAACGTTTTCAGGCAATGCAGTTATTTGGCTTGTCATATGGTTATGACATAGCTCAAGCATTCTGTATGTTGAGATGCATTTTAGTTTTTTAATTATAAAGTTAAAAGTTCAAACTCTTTGTTAACAATGTTATCTATTTGGGAATATTTTCTTCTATGAATTATTTAAGTCCCCTTTCATTAGGAAATAATTTAGGAAAGTTTTAACTGATAGGGGTCACTATTAATGTTTCGGAGTATTTAATGGGAAATGAGGCTCCTTTTTTGCCTGAAATCCAAGAAAACAAAATTTTTCAAAGGCTTATGGCAATGACTCTTTCAGATAGTAATCTTTTTATTTCTAGTGAGCAGGTGTTTTTTAAAACTTTAAACAATTTTAAATTGACAGTTGCTATTGATGTAATTGATCACTTTGAGATCAATTGATCACTCGTTGATCACTTTGAGAGTAGGCTTGTAGGTGAACAAAGCACATAATTCAGTTTACTATTGCATCACAAAATTTTGATTTTTTTTTTTTTAATGTATTTTCTTCACCACCTCTGAAACTGTCAGGATATTTAAATTTCATGTAGCTGTGTGTTTTTAAAACATTTTACTGTCTGTGTAGTATCTGAATATGTTTTGGTGAGTAGCTGCTTTTTGTGTTCTTGCTCATTTTCTGTTTTGTCTCGGAAAGCGATCTTCACATCTCACAAATGTTTTCTCTTGGGCTGGATGAAGGTGAACGTTGTCGATGCTTTGAGAACAAAATGTCGTTCTAGAAAGAAAACACAGCATGTAAGCAAAATGTTACTTTTTTAGGGCTACTATCTGTATAACAGTATGCGCTCTAGATACACTGAACCTGACTTTCTTTATCCTGTCTTTTACAGGAAGGTATCTGATTGTTGTTACAGGCTTGTGAGGAAAGAGATGTATCTGGCTGCCAGATAGAAGGTACAGAGTAAAAGGAGGAGGCAACTCCTGTGTACTGTGGTGTGCTTTCATCTCTTTCTGGTATCATACACAGCATGCTGTTCTCCATAGCATACCCTCACAGTGATTTGCTCTTTGTGGTCACAGTTTCCATTGTCATTGTTTCAAGTCTTAGTGCAACCCTTGTAGTGATACTATTTGGCCTGCTAGTACTTAGTTGGACTACTAGTATTTAGTTGTGAGAATGCTAACAACAGCAGCAGCTACATATGCTACAGAAATGGCTTCCATATTTGGAACTGAAATATGTTGGAATCTGGTATTTTGCTGCTCATAATAGTCTGTTTATTAACTACTTTTTAAGTTTATGCTGTTCTGTTGTGTCTAAGTGTTTGTCATTAGATAATCTAACAACAGAAAATTTGTCTTGTATATAAATATAATGAACATTGTGAGTTAAAAGTACATGGAGATAAAATATTGTCAAGTTTGTTCAAATGCTCAAGAAAGCACAAGACAGCTCAGAACACATCTTATGTTTACTAGCTTTTTTAATACTGAATTTCCAGAATTGCTAATTCTTAGATCCATGATGTTTGGGCTTTCCAAGAAGACCGAAAGCTACACATGCTTTTCTTTGAAGAAAATACTTTTTCTTCAATATCCTTTGTTCATCCTTTTAGAATCATCTAATAATCTTTCATTCCCCCCTCAAGCATTAATGCAGTATTTCAACAGTAGAACATCATTTCCATTCCTATGACAAGCCCAGATTGCACAGAAAAAAAAACCCAGCACACAATCAGTATGCATTAAAGTCTTGACACAAATTCCTACTTCTGCTTGCAGCAAAAAAATTTCAAAGGAGCATTAGGTACCTGAAGATACCAGTATGACTTTTTTGTTAGTATAATAACTACCCACCTCAGTTACCACCTCTGAAGTAGTGCAGAAGTAGTAATTGGTTTGTGCCAGGTTATTGACACAGCTGTATTGGACAGGAACTTTCTGGTTAGAAAAGTGAGTATACCTGACATAATCCTTGCACAATCTTCATATACTTTTTTCTCAAGGTACAAGAATCTGTATTTAAACAGAGCTCTCTAATTTGTGGTATATACTATGCTTTCATTTACTGTGGCACTTAGGTCAGTACTAATTTGGGATCATCGCTTTTAAAACAGCAGGAAATGTTACAGAAATTAAGGGGATTTTTTGTGGCAGTAGCATGTGCCAAGTGCTGGATTAGGAGAGGAAAATAACTACAAAATACACTTTCGGGGGACAAAACCCAAGAAAATATGATCACTCCTCTGCCCCCAAGCACATGCAGACAGTCTGATGAAAATGTCTCTTTAAATTGTCTAATTTGTCCTTTATGTCAGTATCAAGGAGATGCAGCTCTGCCAGTAAGTATTGTTCCACAGAAAGTCTGCAGTAGTTGTAAGTGGTGCTGGTATTAGCAAGGAAAAATCGCCTTCTAAGACTGAACCACAGTTACGAGGTAGGACATGCTTTTCTTATTAACCTTAATTAAACTACTCAGTTAAAATTTATAGAAGGATTAAAGCAGTGGGAATCATTACAAGTTTTGTTATTCTGTTCTGGCTGAAATTTCTCTGTGAATAAGCAGTTTCAAAAGTGTTATTAGCATTGCTGTATGTAGAGAACAAGGCCACACAGACTTGGTGATCCAGTTTCATAGCAATCAGCAGGGGAAAAAGAAAAAAAAACCGAAACACCCCCCAAAAAAACCCCAAACCAAACAACAAAAACCAAACACAGACTTCATTTGGCATTCAGAATATTTTTTTCTCCAGAAAACTGCTCTCTGCTACTTCAGAGTTCAGCTGACAAAATTCACATCACTGTATTCATACTACAGAAAAAAGCACAACCAGACTGCAAAAGCTTCTGTCAAATACCAGTGAAAGTGTGGTATGTAGAAGTATAGACAGGCTTTTTGTTTTCTAGGACTGCTTACATTCTGTTTGCCCACTACAGAAATATCAAAATGGCTGTAGTTGAAAATTTGCTTCCACAATATCGCTCCAGGAACCTCTTAAACAAGCCTGCACAGTGTAGTAATTCGTTATCAACTATCAGACACTGGACTGACCTTTAAATGAATGAGACGAAAATAAGGGAATTGTATGATAAAACCCTTAGCTTCAATGAATAATCAGATGACTCTGTAGTTCTGCATGTGATCCTTGTAATGAGGACTTTCAAGAATGATGATGCTGACTTTCTTTATGAAGTAGGTATTGCAAATTAAATAATTAAGATTTGGCATATTTTTTGTATGTAGGAAATTGAATTTTTCATGGCTTTAATGTTGGAGTCAATATTTATCTTACATAGTGTCTTGTTTCTTTGAAATTTCATATGGTCCTTATAAAGTGAGATAACCACATTCTAAAAATAAGTAAGAAATTGTAATCAGTTATTGTCATTAATTGTGTAGAAAAATTGCACTGCGGAACTTGTTAAAATTTTTCCATGGGTCTGTGTGCTAACTCCTTCTCTATCCTCTATTCCCAAGTATCAACAAAATTGTCACCCATGGTTATTGCGCCTTAAACTCAGATTAGTGGCAGTAGTGAGCCAGAACATTTCCCACTACTCATTTATGACCCAAGAACAAAGAAATTCTTTAAAGTCACTTAAAAATCATGCAGTCTGATCTTTTTCATTACACTTACTTTTGCTGCGTTTCCCCTGCTTTCACTCTTATTGTCTTCACTATAAGTCCTGGTCGATGGGCACCTTTTGTCCATGGTATTATGGTTTGAACTGTGTCCCAGATATTTTCCCAAACTGCCGTTCCTTCCCATTTGAACTTGATCATTATTAGCTCACCAATATCAGTGTCGAGGGTGATGAGAAAAGAGTAGGTTTTATTCCCACTGATACCTTCAACTCTGCAAAAAACAAAACCAGAATAATGCCATCTTAATTGTTATGGATTAAAGTGGGAAGAAGAAAAAAAAAAAAAAAAAGGGAGGGGGGTTTATCTCCTCTTTAAAATGAAAGAACTATGTTTCCTCCTCCTTCTCCAGGGGGGAATGTTGCGGTCTCAGGCCCATAAAGTGGTGAATAAGACAACACGCTAGAAGAGAAGCAGAAGCAGGAGAATCTTGAACAGCTAGTGAAGCAGTAGTGGTTTCTGACCGCAAAAGGTGTCCCATAATAGCGTCTAAGTTACATCTTCTGTCTGCTGAAGCAAAGGCTGACCCCCACGGTTGCCTTTTCTTTTGTTCATACAGGTAGTGTCCATCATGAGAAATATCCAAATTTTTTTACCTTAATTACAGCTGTACCTTTGTGTTTTAATTGAGTATACTTCAGTGTTAGCTGTGGGATGGACCAAACATTAATGGACAGGGTACTTAATGTTCAGGGAAACTTCCAAAATTACTAAGTTTGTTTTATAGGGATTTTCCATGCAAAAACTGTATGGACCATGTAAAAGTTAGTGATTTTTTAGGGGGTATGGGTAAAGAGAGGACAATTTCCACTTCATCTTCACTCATAGCATGATTATATATGTGATGTGGTATTATAAGTTGTTTCTCACTTGTACAATAACATGTAATATCAATACTCACAGTGTGATGGGCAGGTTTTTAGCATCCTCCTTAGTGCCTGTCAGAGAGATGGTAAAAGTTGGGTCTATCTGCTTGCCTTGGATTTCATTGATGAAGTGGATCTTGAACTGATAATGATAGACTGCAGAAAGGAAGAATTTGCCAAGTGACAAAATTAATGGTCAAAGAAGCAATAGATTTCTCAGGCAAAAGAATTTTGCCTTTCAGAGCAGAAACTTGATTGATATTTCCTTTTTATTTTTTAAACAAATTTGTTGCAATTCAAATATCAATTTTTCTGATTATTGCCATGCTGTGTAATCCCTTAGGTTTTGGGGCCCTATTGCTTTATTTAAAAGGATGGGGAAAAAAGGTAACTTCAGCTTCAGTTCCTTTTGTAGCATAAAACTTTCTTCCATGTGAAATTTTTCAGCTTTTCTGAAGTTTAATTGTTAGAATTTCTGGCAAGTCCTCTAACTGGCAGATAAATCCAAATCCTTATGACTGGACATAGCTAGAGATGTATGATACAGATTGAAGACTTTACGCAATGTAGTCAGGCTTTTTCTCTGACTGGCTAGAAAATTGCCCTGCAAAACAGATGACTCACAAGCTTTGCTTGACTTCATAATGATACATTGTGCTTAACATGCCTCCGTTAACAATATGGCTTTGTTCAAGCACATTACTGTAAGAAATGTCATTAATTACTTCAGGATCTGGTGGGTTTCTAGAAGAACAGTGTTTAGGAAAGACTTGGAACTGAATATTGTCAGAATTAAGAATGCCTAAGACATCGTCAGTGTACTGATTACAAGCAGTTTGACATTTAGTAAATTATGAAGAAAAAAATCCCCAAACCACAAAAATCACAAAATCCCAATGTGCAGTTAGAGGCCATTTGCACACAGGTGTTGTCAGATAGATTTGAACATACAAAACTCTTCTGTCTGGTGATTCTACCAGCCACCTTCTCGGCAGAAACCCGAAGTAATTTTTATTAACAAGGACCAGAGAGTATTTGGAAGAATTAGGGGTGTTTTACTTATCCTTGCAATCTGGTCAAATTACACATGGGAAACTATTCTGGTAAACATTATTACACACTAGTTTTTGTGTAGAAAAATGTTCTTTCCTCATTTCCTCTCCTCACCCATGTCACGCTTCACCAAATCTGAGAATGGCCCCACTGTACTGCTTAAGGGAGTCGTCGTCTTTTTATGTGTATGTACGGATAGATTTATAATTTTTTTGTGCAGCTCTGAGTGTTCACAATGGAAGGTATTTGCTAGAAAAGCTGTATCTTTTTGTTGTTGTTTCATAGTTATTGCATGTTAGTGAACGATGTAATTTCTTTTGAAAAGGTGTCACTCAGTAGAAGACAAAATGACTGATTCTTTGCTGCAAATCTGATGAGGACAAAGTAGGCAGAGGCGCTTGTTTACAGATCACTTCTATTGCTATCCTGTCTTATTCTGAGCTTTCTCTCCATGTAAAAATTGATTGTTCCAGAGTATGTTCTGATAAAGCCTAGGCTTCTGCTGTGGTTGTGATGCTCGCTTTAAGGAAAAGGGTGAGCGTATTCATATAAAAAATCTGACTCAGGGTCCCATCGCAGCTTTTACAATAAATGTGAACTTCTTTGTAACAACTGGTTTTTGTTTGAACTGGATTAGTGTATGGTCCAGAACATAATGTCGCTAACTTGAAAAATGAAACGTCAGGTTGTGAAGATGCAGAGGATTGTGAAGTGTAACATGGAGTTTCTCAAATTCCTTCTGTTTGGGCTTCTCACATGATCTTCAAACATTTTTTTTAAGACCGTTACAAAGGTGACTTTGTACACATGCTCCCACAGTTGCTGCCTTGTTTGGGAACTTTTGTGAAAGGAGCCCATTGTCTGGGGCACTGGTATCTGCATATGGGCCAAGGACGTTTTTTTGAAGCTAAACCAGCCCCAAGCATAAAAATGCAACGTGCTTCAAATTGAAATTGAAGCCAATAGGACACGGATATTTTCCCACAAGCTGAAACTGTCTCTCTGTCCAGAGAAAAATGCAACACAGAAATCGTGTTTCTGTGCCCAGGTGTGGTGGTAGCAGACACCATGTCCTCAGAGAAATTTGCTTTCCTGATTCTGATGGTGACCTGACTGTACTGCAGCAAAATTACACCAGGAAGTAGGCATGGCCTCTAAAATTTTGAAATCTATTTCAAGTAGCTTCCTGAAGCATTTTAAAAAGTATAAGAAGAGATCCAGCAGATTCAGCTGCTCTGAGTATCGGCCAGGGCTGAGCAGACCCCTCTGGAGTCTTCACTGTGTACTTCACAGCTGTGTTAGTGGAAGACTTCCAAAATTGTTTTAGAAGTACCTGAATTTTTGTTGTTTTTTTTAAATCTGTGATATTGCAGTTGAGTACCAGGCACTGTGGGGAAACAAGATGTGTCATGCAAGCAGCATTTTTAAGCATTTCTGCTCGGGACAGGAAAGCCCTTGAGTGTCCATGCCAAGGGCACGCTGTTGACGTTCAAAGCGCTTCCCCCACCCTGATGTCTGGGGTGGGGGACAAGAAGGCCGACCCCCTCCAACAGGAGGGAGGCACCCCCTTTCTGGAGTGCCAGGCAGAACGGGCCAGCCCCAGCAGCGGGTGAGGTGGAGAGGGACCCCATGGCTGTGGGGCTGTGCCGGGGGCAGGCGGGGCCCTGGCACTGCCTCAGGGCCGAGGAGAGGGCGGGGCCGGGCTGTGGCGCTGCCGGCACCGAGGGGGCTGTGGGAAGGGCACCAGCCGCTTGGCGAGGAGATGGGCGCACCTCGCAAGTCTCCTCCGTGCGTGGTGGCCTGCAGCTTCGAGCAGGAGCCCTACCTGGGCTGTGACGCCCTTTTGCTTGCCACGTGCCTCATCGAGAGCCATGGAAGGAGGTAGCGAGGAGGAATGGCGCACACCAAAAGTCCCTGCACCGAAAGCCACTTGGAAGAAGCGTGTCCCTGCCATTCGTCCCACGCAGTCCTGCTTGTTCTTGCTTTAAAACGTACGTAAACCTTCCCGCTGGCAGGTGAATGTCTGCTCAACAGCAGCAGTCATCTCATGGGCTCTCTGACAGCTGAATTGTGATCGGCCTGCAGCCAGGCCCAGGCCATTTTGTAATGGAGATGGGCAGTTAGGCCCCATTTCCCTGTCAGGCTACTTCCCCTCTGTGTGGTAATACATGCAAGAAACCATACCGACTGTCTTTCTGAACTTAGAAAATTGTTACTTTGCGCTCTCAATGAAGTAATTTAATGGAGATAAAGCTAGAGTACCAGTCACTTTATTTTAGTGCAATGGTTCTGCCCTGTAAAAGTCCATGCTATTCTGTTGTCTGTCCCCCTGTCTGAGAAGTAATAATTTATATGTCATCTTGTAGACTAATTGCAGATAAGGTTTGGGCAAACTTGGAACAGAAGGTTTTACAGGTCTCCCAGAATGATTATGCTGCTTTTTTGGCTTGGCTGTATGCCTGCATATGTTATAAGAAACTCACACAGGCCAGTTGTAGGAGAATCCTGTAGATCAGGACCCTAAGAAGTCTGAGGCCTCAGATCCATGGTTAGCCTGTGGCAGGCATGCAGCATGCTTTTTTCCCCCCAGAAATATTAGGAGTCAGGATCTTGATGAAAGGGCATCAAGATGGCCTACTGGGATTCTCAGTTGTCTCAGCAAACTGATTATTCCCATAGATTTTTATAAGCTTTAATAAATGAGTAAACAGGATCACAAAGGTTAGGCTCATTCTCACACTTTGTGATCAATCTGGAGACTGTAACAAGTATTCCCACAAACCTTTGAAAGGCATATGTGCTCTTGTTTTCAAAAAGAGTCGTCTACTTTTTGGGAGCCTTTCCTCCCTGATGTTGTAGCCCAGCGTGTTGCACCGGTTCTTTCTACAGCTGAGGCACATTCCTTTGTCGAAAGTGTTGATGTCATTGCACCAGTATGCTGTGCTTTGCTTATCCTTGTGAAGCAGAGAGTCGATGAACAAATGAACTGACCTCTCGTGGGCACATTTCACAGTTTGAGTGATGCCTGAAAAAATGCAAACAACAAAATTTTGTGTGCCCTTGTTCCTCTTTACCATTTCATCTGCAGAGGAGTACAGTAACCAACTATAAACATATGTTATTGTTTCCACATGTTCCCCACCCCTTTACTACTAAAACATAATGATTTTGCCTCAGAAATCATACATTGTAGCAACTTTACTTTTAGGATCATCCAAAAATAGTTTGGCTGAACCCACATGGTAATAAAATTGAGTAATTTGCTACATAAACTTCTCTAGCCTGACTTTGTCTGTAAATATGAACCTTGACTTCATTGTCCTGGCTGATTGGTCAGTATGAAATACAATACAGGCTACACGCAGTCTTTTAGATCATGCCTCATTAAAGACAGCAGTCTCATTCTTAATGGTTGTACATTGTTGTCTTTTGGATGTTCACATGGTAATGTCTTACTTTGTACCTATCAGAGTGACAAACTCTCATGTTGAATTGAATTTTGCTTGCAGCTGCTACTGGGAAAAAAGGAGCAAAAAATTTATTAAATACATTAGAAAATTATTAAATACATAGATATGCTTTTACAAGAAGCAAGTATCTTTTTTCTTCCTTAAGTGTCATCAAATTACTGAAGTTAGTTTCTTCTGTGGAATCGGGATATATCATGATGGACTGTTTTTAGATGTCTTCACTGATAAGCTTTCTAGCTGGTGCTTGGTTTCACATTTGTCATGACAGTTATCATGAATTATCTGCTAACAAGCAAGGCCTACTTTTAGATAATGTGATAATTGAGAAATATTTTTGCAATGCAGTATGCTGGGTGAAATGTACTTTTAGGGTTTTTCAGTCAATGGTTCTGTTTGTCACTGTGCATCAGTACCTTATCTAGATTTTTTTCAGTATGTTGCATCAGTTTCTCTATACATTTACGTTTAGGTACATTGGAAATAAGTTTCTATATATAAAATGTAGCCTGGAACATTGGCAGTCGGGTCCTAGAGAGAACATCATCTGCGCAGCTGAAGGACAGGGAGTTGGGAAGAAGTGAACTAAGGAGGTGAGTGGTATATCCCTGTGTTTTATTTGATTTGAAATAATGAATGGCACGCTAGATGAATCAGGCTTAATTAGAATAAGTTTTCTCATTTCCTCTAGTGCTAAAATAAATACCTGTGAAATTATTCAGAAGTGCTTGACAGCAGGATGCTTATGGCCTCATTTTCCTAAGTGCTAGGCAGCCAAATTCCTCACTGAAGTCAGTAAGAACAGTTTGAACTCTATACATGTAAAAATTGGATAACAACTTTCTAGAAGAGAAATTTAATTGCACATAATGGATGATAATACTCCCATTAGATACTGTTTAAGACCACAGAGATATGTAAAGTTGCCCAGAGATACTGTCAGTGCATCTGCAATGCTGCTTCCCATTTTGTGCCGTTGGTTCTTACCAGTGATGCCATATTGTGCAATGTGGTTATACACGTGCATGATGTGACAGCCAGGCTGAAAGGTGCCTCCATTGGGATAAAAGTCAAAATGAGCCACAGGCTGCTTGATGCCAACACTGAGACCCATGTGCTGTTTAGTGAATGTATGAATTGCATCTACGAAGTTTGCATCATCTGGAGATAAACGGTCTGTTGGTGACATTCCTTCAAACAAGGGACCGGCAGGGTCGAGGCCTGTGATAAATGCGAATAATCCAGTTGTGATATAGTGTGGATGGGCTGTTCTTTTACTGTTATGAGAAAAGTCTGTGATAAATATTTAAAAACAGGCAGCACTGGTACTTTACAAGGTCTTTCACTGACAGAAACAATGCTAGGAACACTTGTCCTGCAGAGGGTACATGGTTACAACAAAAGGTAAAGTAAACACGGGTGCTGTAATAAACAGTAACTGCTACATGCACAAGGACACAGGCCCAGAGATAGATGTGTTTGTTAGAGACAAACTGTGCTCGCTACTGCTTTGTCTCTGGAATGATGTTTACTTGATTTTTCTTTTTCATACCCTAGAGGTCATGCATTTCAGTGGCCCTTTTGAAGACACCAGTCCCACAACAAGGTTGACTTTTAGCCTACATTTGGGGCTAAAAAAACTCCATAAAGCTTCACTTGTTGCTGAAAAGAGCTGTATGTCTGCTAGATGTTTTTTATAATAATTTTTCAACTTCAGAGATCTTCAAGGGAAATTATTACAGTAATCAGAAAAAGAATATTCCATTTAGGGAGTCTTGCTGATTTTTAGTTCGCCAGATATTTTTCTGTGGTGCTCTGTTTGGTTGGGAACTGATTTATGGAAAAGGCCTGCCTGCATAGTTTAAAGCTGCCTTTAGTTTTGAGGACAAGCTTCTAAATTTGAGATGCTTCAGGTGGAACTATGGACTAACATGGTTGCATAGGTGTAACTGGACAAGACTAATAATGCAGGCTACAAGTAGGGATGTCATCCTGAAGGCATATGTTGCTTTTTTTTTTAATAGCTTTTATCACTATGTATGTTTGGAGCTTATTGTTACAAACCTAAATAATTTTTGCTGAAGAATGCATATAGCTGTTACAATAAATAATGTGTTTTAATGTTTTTTACTTATTCAATATTGAGGTTTGATGTACTAATATGGTTTGAACAAGCGGTGCTGATGAACTAAAGTCTTTCAGTGTATACACAGGTGTAATATCACGACACACTGTGTAAGATCAGCTTCTTGGCATGCAGGCACTGTCACAAGAGCTGGTTGTATAAGGGACTATGATGTGTGGCAATAAATCCAAGATCAGAATTGGGACTTCAGACTGTAGTATTGCATATTTGCCTCACTCCCAAATCAGATTCAAGTAAAATGTTTTCTCTGATAACTTAAATGTAGCTGATGTGGGCCTGGTGTAAAATGTGCTGCTGTTTTGGGTTTGTTTTGTTGCTTTTTTTTAAGCTGTCACTGTGCATTAGTGGTGGTACTGTATGCAGCATATCAATAGCCTTATAAATGTATTTTCATTACACATAATTAGTACAGTTACAAAACTTTACAGATGGTTCAAAATGCCACTAGTCAAAACAATGAAGTGTTATGGTTAATTTTGTTTACTTTTACTTAATTTTGTTAGGGATACTCTAATAATATGCTTCCTGTAAAATGTAATCCAGGACTATAATTTTTGCCACAGGAGAACTGACTTTAATTCACTGTCTGAGCAATGTAACACAATTGAAAGCCTAAGCACAGTTAGACAATTTCCTTAATGTAAATTTCTTTTGAAAATGAGTTGCTAAGAATGAACAGTGTATTTGAATGGCTTTGGGTCAAGATAGTGACCAAAGATCCAAGGTTAGTGGCTAACGTTTGGTTTAAGGTGTTACTGGGAATTGATACAAGATAAATTCAAGCAACATGCAACTTGAATCTTTGGTTTATGATTTGTAGTCCATACACTTCTATATTCTGTATGTCATAATTTGGACTGAGGTAGGAAAGATCAAAGCTAGAAATACTATGATACTTCATTCTAAAAATTGTTTTCATTAAATTTTCTAAATCTAATTTATAAACCAATAGGATGAAGCTTGTAAACTGTGGCAAATATTGCGGTTCCACAGCTAAATGTTGATATGACATTGAATTGTCAAATATCTATGTAACTTAAGTCACTTGAGTGTTACATTTCTTAAAGTTATAACTCTTTTACCTGTAATTCTTCCAATTTTGTTCGTACCACTGATGTAACTTCCAGCAAATCCTGAAACGTGAGCTCCTAGGCTGTACCCAATTAGATGAGCCTTGGTTCTGGAAAATTGAGTGGAATCCTGGAAGATAGTAGCAGCTTGATTTAGATGCAGAAAATGTGAAAAGTAAACTAGTGAAATACTTACTACAAGCTAGGAATGTAGTACAACATGAAATACAACACAAGAAACTTATGTTGATGGTGGAGGTAAAATGAGGTGCATGGATCATGTACTTGATTTCTTCACTGGCTGAACATTATTCCCTGCCTCCTTTTCATGCAGCAGGAAAATACCACACATTTGGGCACTGCTGCTTATGTGCTATGCTCAGGAAAACTATTGACACTGATAGTAGGATTTTGTTGCTGTTTGCAAGTGATGCAACTGTGCATTGCTTTTTGTCTGCAGTATTTGACTTTCCTATGACTATAAAATGGTATCTGTCCTTTAACTTCAGTGTAAGACAATCCTTTGTAGAAAGCACCTTGATATTTTTGCCTGAGATACTAGGACAAGACAAATTAGAGGCCAAAGTATCAAAACATTGATCAGATATGCTAAGTGATATGTCTATGACATTTCTTGGACTGATTTGTACAAAACTGGGTATCTGATCTGAAACAAACCTACTGAAGCAGAATTGGCCTCAGGCCTTTCTTTCTATCAATGCTATCTAGTTCTTAAGCATTTCACCTGGGCTGCAAGGCTCAAAGCTTTTCTGACTTGTAATGAAAAATATGACATATTTTTCTTGCAGGAGAGGCAAACATCTATTTTAATTTCATTGTGGATATTGCCTGTCCCAGTGGCTTTGCAGTCTCAGTACCTGTCTCTTGTGAAGATGAGGTGAAACTTGGCAATCTTCTTTTGAGAGAGGCAGCTCTTGGAAATCACAAGATCTGACCAATTTTCTTGGCAGGTGTTACTGTGATGGATGCTGTTGAGATTGTTACTGATCATGCCCTATTAACTCTTGGACTAAGCTGAGTGCTAAGATATACTTTATTTTTATGCTTTATTAAAATGTTGCATAGCACTGCAGCTTGCTACATCCATTGAGGATATTTCAAATACTCGCCTGCCTGTAAGCAGGCAGAGACATAGTGGAAAGATAGTTATGGGAGTTGGAATGCAGGGGGTTTTAACTGTTAAACACAGGAGGGGTACTTCTCAAGAGAAGGAAGGTTTACTGCTTGATCATGCTCAATTGAATGTTGTGAAAATTTATGGTATATGAAATCCTGGAACATATTATGGTACAAAAGAAGCTACCTACAATGCTGGAGCAAGGATTCATTTATACAAGCCTCGATTTGTTTGCTGACACTGGAGAAATCACAGACTGCCTGTGTTGTTGACAATGTGGTGTGTCCTGGGAACTGAACGAAGTCCACTGTTTGATTCATTCAATAATTAAACAGCTTCAAAATATTATTTTAGGCTCCAGCAATTTAAACTACATTTGACCAAGAGCTAAGGTTTCTTGTAATGTCACACTGAAAAATAGTGACTCTGGTTCCTCTGCTTTCTCTTTTGTGCCTGCTGTCCCTAACTGGGCATGGTAACTGACAGCTTCTTCTACCCTGCCATTCCTATTGAAAGCAGCTTAGCCCTTCAACAGGATTTGCTACAAATCTTTCAGCTTTGCAGTATATGTCCCTTCCACCTTAGGCCTCACTGTATTTAAATTAATGTATTCAAAAATTCATTGTGAGGTTCAGAAGTATAATTTCATTTCAAATTAGGTAGCTTAAATTAGTACTAGAGATAGGTGAAATGAGCATTGCATAGCATGCTTGGTTTGTATGAGTGATACTTATTCTAGTGTTTGCTTTCTGCCTCTTCTTAAATAGTGCTGGAGACCGGTGATCCCTTGCAGACTTGTGCGCAGCCTTTTCAATCCAGCCATGGCCACAGGTCCTGTGTAGCAGGAGTTTTGATGAGTAGTCACTACATTAAGTGTGGCTCTACTCATTACTGCCTCCATGTCATCTGCTCTTTCAGGCATGTCTGTCCTCTTAAAAGGTCTCCCTATACATTCTGGATCTCTAAGCCATTATTTTAGAATAACCTTTGGTGAACTGAGGCAAAAATCAGACACAATGTCATGCTTGAATTCTGCATTAAAAGCAGAAATTAAGCACAGATAACATAAACCCATTTTACTGAACTTGCAAATAGTAATGTGTGTCTGCTTTCAAAGTGTAGGCCTGTGTCAGCTGTCTGCACGCAGGCTAATTGAAAAGCTAGCCTGAAATTATCTCACCTCTAAAGATATATCAAGATATTTTGATAAACAAGACCACTTGGGTTTTTTTGCTTGCATGGTGAAAGTTTTTTATGAAGTCATATGAAAGTTTATGGAGGAAAAATTTGCAATGTGTTAAAGAAACATAAGTGATTGAAATGAACAGCATTAATCAGCATGGTATTTCAAAAAGGTGGTGCAAGCCTAAGAACAGGTAAATAGGTCTATTCCAGGGAAACGTGTTTATCTGGGGGGCTCTTACCTCCAGCCATTCCAGGAAGTCTGCTATCTCCTGTCCTATGTACCGTGTATTCTGTACAGCAATGGGATAGTGCTGGTGAGCAAATGTAAGCCAGTCTGCAATGATCACGTTAATTTGTCTATGCTGAGACTTCAGAGCTGCTGCCATTTTCCAAATCCAACCTTCTAACATCCCATCCACCTGTTTTGTTAAAAAAAAAAAAAGAAAAAAACAGTCTCAAGGGAAAGCAGTCTCTGACAGATATTTCTTGTGAAAAGCTCAGGGGAACAAAAAACATAAGCAGAGGAGGGCTTAATGCTGAGAACTAGATTTTAGGGGCTTCACCATGCTTCAGTGCTGACAATCTTTGGGTTTTGGTGGGCAAAAAATTAAGAATCAATATAATAATATATATAATAATTTGTCTTGTAATATGAACTCTTTATCAGTAAAATTATGTCCCTAAATATTTTCACTCTTCCTGAGATAATTGATATTACTGATTAAAAAGGAAGACAGAAATGCCCAGAAAACTTCTGATTTCATTCAAGAGCAGCTGTCATTGTAAATTTAAGCTAAAAGGGTTAGAGAGGGAGGGAAGCTGGAGGGTTGCAGACCAGTGGGCATTTACCATCTACAGCTGTTCCATCTTTCAGATCTGCTGCTTTTTTAAAATTCATTCTTTTTTTAAGGACCTGGTCACAATTTCTTTACAAGCATCAAAGACCGCTTCTGATTTGGTGGACCAGAATTACTATATAATCTATCAGATTTAATTGTTGCTCTGTTTGCACATATTTCCTCAGTTGATAGACCATCCTTATCTCTTCTGGTGTTTTAACAGAATTTGGGAGTCTGAGTTCTGGGTTTCCTCTAAGAGCCCAACAGCTGTGCAAATTAAGTATGAATTATAAACTTCAATGGCAGCAGCTTCAGATCCATGGTTTTTCTTTGAGAAGGGTATAGGTTTTGAACAAATTCTTATTTGGGAGGCTCATCTAAAGTAATCTAGGGGAATATTTCATCCAAAGTCTGCTCTGATGTTGTTTGAGAGTTACATGCATCAAGGGTGTTCTAAGTTTCTCTGCATATTTGCAAATGTGTAAGAAACATCCATTTTACCACCTTACATGGTGAAATTGGTTCTGTGAGAAACAAAGATCTGTTAAAATGACATCATTTCTTATTCTGCCTTTTCTTTTGTTTCTTTTTCAACTGAGAAGCTGATAAAAAGTCACTCTTCATACTGGTATGCTTTTGAGGGATTTTCATGGTGGATTTTTTTGTTACTGTTTAACTGGAAGCAGTTCAGCGATAATTCATTGACATTGAAGGCTTCATTTTCAGCTCAAGGGACTTATAGAGAAGTTCTCTTCAAAGGTGTATCTGTGAGATGTGGGGAGGTTGTGCACACTTTTCAATAAGTCTGTAAATATCTGACGGTGTACACATCAGAGAAATGAAACTGGTATTCAGTCCTCCAGAGGCATAGCGCATTGTCAGCTACTTGTTCGAAATCTGCTGGCTTTAAACCAGGGCTGAATCTAATCCTTGGCGTGGGACTCCCATGTGAAAAACTGCTCGTAGACTGTTCCTTCAGAATCTCAATGGTGAATATCCACTTTTTATTATTTCTAGCCATGATTGCTACTAGGGAAATCCACCATCTTTCTGATCACAACCTTTCTTCTGAAGTTACTTTTGGCAGTAGCATAATGAGGAGGAAAGTGTATCAAATTAGATGTAGTTTGAATTAAAAACAAAATGTGAGTTCATACCGACCAACCATGGACTATCATCACCAGAGGAAGAGAGGCATTGAAACTGCATTTGTCAAGAGTCTCCAACTGATTAAAGAAAATCTGGCAGCCTTCTTCAGTTGTATCTGTATAAAGTCGAAATTTGGTTTCTAAGTTTTGCTGATCTTTCTTTGTTCTAGCGTGCTGACTCTGTGATCCCAGTGCCTCTGTAATGAAATTCATAACAACAGTCATAATAGGATGGAATCTAAAACCTGAAGAAGTTACTGGTGAAACACAGGTTATAATACAAAGTAAACTAGTAAGATTGAAACTCCAGCTATGTATAATTGCTGCCTACTCCAGGTGGGCCTAAGCTGTACACTTTGGGTCAAAAAAATTCTCTCTCTCGGTTTGACATGGTCTAGATGTGCCTTTGAGTCCATCTATTGGAACAATAGCAATTAGATGGGAAATGTTGACCTATTGCTATGGGCCCTTATAGAATGCGTAAGTGTTTTAAAAACACAGTACAGATGTTGTGACTTTACAATGTTAGTGCATGCACAGGGAAGCACATTCATAGGCTATTGACTCTGCAGGGCATATTTTACTAATGTGTGTTTGTTAGTAGTTGCTGAGCAGGCATCGTTACACTAAAATAACCATTTTATTCAGGGTTATAACTCTGCTTAGAGACTTAGATGGCTGCTTAAAACTATTAGACCACATCATAAATTATGCTTTTTCTCTAAAAAAGCAAGATGAAATGTTCTTGTTCTAGTTGTAATATTTTTGGTGGTTTTGTTTTTAGAGAAACTAGCTTGATACATATAGGACAACATTTTCAGAAATGTCTATTAAGTACCTGGGATGGTATCTGTATTTAAGAAAGTGGGGGCAGGGTGAACTGTAGTCTTAACAACATTATGAGCTTAGAAGGAAAAATATGAATATAGGGAAATTGCTGAAAATGAAATAAAGCAGAAGCTTACAAAAAGCACATTGTGACACGCAAGCCTGCTGTTTCTTTCTAATAAGACTTCAGACTGTTTATTTTATTTATCTGAAAATAATCCATATAATAAATTCTTACTTAGGCTAGGAAAAATTAGGATTAGTAGAAGAAAACTTAGGGTGTGATGAACTAGACAGATGAGAAATTACAGCTCTTTGTGTAGCGAAGCAAACTTTTAGGGCGGAGAGAGTTTACTAATGGAGTTCTTTGAGGGATGTTTTTTGGCTAATCTTGTTTTAATATTTTCATTATCGAAGCAGGCAGGAAGGGTACAAGACTGAGAACATTTGGGAGGCATTTGCTAATACCAAGGAGACCAAAAAGTTAAATGTAAGAGCTAGATGACCTTGAAAATACAGCAACAGAAACAAGTAGAAATCTCATATTATGAAGTGCAAGGGCATACAGTTGATAAGAATTTCTTGATAAATGGAGGTCATAAATTGGAAGTGACACAAGGGTAAAAAGACTTGACTGTAGTAATCAATAGCAAAACTGACTATGAGTCACCGCTGTGATTTGGCTGTGAGAAAGGAAAATATAATTCCAGGATGCATCAATGTTTTTGGTAGGAAGAGAGAATGTTAGTACCAATGAGTTAAGGCACTTATTAACCACATACAGAACAGTGTGCATAGCTCTTGTTACCAAGTTCAGGAGATACCAATTCAAGCTGCAGCACCTGCTTAGCAGTACCACTAGAATGGTCAGGAAAGAGGCATTTGTTTTAATTAGACCTAACAAATAATGAAATATTCTTGGAGGTGAAAATGAAGTATTTTATTCACTGAGAAATAAATGGAAATTATTGTGTTGGAACAGAACTCATGTTAGTTCAATTTTAGTTCTTTTATTTTTCTTGCATAAAAGTTCCTTAATATAATGTTAATGTTAGAAATATGATATTGTTATTTTATCTTCTAAGTCAGCACACAACTTCTTTTGTTCATTACAACTCATGTGTATAGATGTTTTCAGAAAACCTCTAAAATAATAGCATATTCATTTCTGTATTATATCTGCACATGCATCCTGAGGTTCTATGACATTGTTGTCTTGATAACATTTTGCTAATTTATAAGGTACTTTTGATATATTTACAGGTGAGCCTTTATCCCACAAGTGTATTTAGTAATGGGAAACTCCCGTATTTATATATTCACAGAAATAGTGTCTTATAACGCACAATACAAAGAACCCTAATGTGAAAGCATGCTGGGTTTAGATCAGACTGTATTTTTGCCACATGTCAGTCTTATTACAAACTTTATTCAAGGTTTTATTTTAGTATAATGATAAGACATTATACAAACAGCATATTTAATTTGATTAAGTAAATGGCAATTCTGGTAAGAAAACTCACAAACTATACTGCACTGGATGTGCACTGTTTTCTATTTGTTGCTAATTATTGCAGATTCCAAGTCACTCCAGGCAATGTTATGTTCCACAGCTAGGAAACATTATTGCATAAAGTTGTTCAGCCATTTACAACTGGAATTTCAAAAGCCTCAAAGTTAGTGAACATTTGGTTGTCAAAATTCTTAGCTTCAGTGTTTCATTTTTTTATTTAGTGGCACTTTTAACTGTTGTAGCTAGCTGGGACTAAGTCTGATCATTTCTTCATTACAAAGTCTACTTACAAACACTTTTTTTCTGGGAGAGGACTCAGTTTCTGAAGAAAGTAATATTAAGAGAAAGTGAATCTAGATAAAGAACTGAAAACTGGAAAGAGTTTTAATGATGTTGATATTCTTACCCTCCAGTTTATTCAGGCTTTGGTGTGTAGTCTCTACACAAAGATAAGCATTGTGTTCTATTTTTGGCACAAAAAGAAAAAAAAAAGTAACTTGTGCCTGTTCCATTGTACACATCCTTTCTTTGTTTTATGCCTTGTTTTCATTTTCTTTTCACTCAGTGTTTGTGCAATGCAAAGGCGCTCTGTCACTCTCCATATTGTTTGTACATACTACAGAAAACAAGTCTAATAAATAGCTGTTTTCTTTATACATTCACTGAAGTGCTTGTGGTGCTTTAATGAGTGAGCTTTTGGCTTGCCAGTAAGAGGGAATTAAAAATACAGTTTGAACTTCTTTATGGCTGTCAAAAGTTAGAAGTTCCAATAGAATCTGTTGTGTTATTAGACAAAGAACTACTTCAATCTGTTAATCCATGTAATGTCTTGGAGAAGGAAATAGAGTCTGAAGAGCTTGACTTCTGCAACAGACTCTTGCTAAAAATGTCATGCCAGTGACTCAGTGACATGATCGAAGGGAATTGCAAAGTTTCATATGTCAGTTTACAAAAACAGCAAAATAAAACTGCTAAAAATGTTCCTGTGCCGTTGCAGCTGGGAATGCCAAGATCTTTCTGAAACTCCAAAGAGTTTCTCTTTGGAAAATTAGCACTTAACCCAGATGTGTGAGTTGCTGACTTAATTTCCTACTCTAACATAAATTCTTTCAGGAAAGGCAATGCAACATGGCCACACTGATCCATGTGCTATCCTAAATTAGCTTCATGCAGAGCAGCATGGTAATCAAGGGCAAGAAATGTTGTTGTGACTTCTTGATACCCTGGAGGAGATTCAGCCCTTTACCTTTCCTTTTTTTGTGTTAATGATGTTTCTATGAGGTGCAGTAAAGACTGTAACTGAAGGCTGACTTTGTAAATACCACTTAGTTTTATAACTAAGTAGCACAGTTTCTTGTAAAACATTTTCAGGTTAGTTTTGGCAGACAAACCAAAACACTTTTAGATTTGACCCAAGATAATCGTGTTTTCTTACTGAGAAGTAAAACCAGAAGAGTGATTCACAGTTGAACAAAATGAAACTTTTTTTTAAATTGGGATTTCAAAAACAAAGGAGACCTCTACATACCTGGTAGTAGGTCTAGTAGCCATCTGAATGCAATGCGCATTGGGATGTGCATGCTAATAGTTCAGTTATTTATTTTCACTATTAGTATTTTATTATTATTTGCATTGTTAGTGTTTATTGGTTTAGATTATGTCTGTCGTGCTTCTAATAATGCAAGCTCAAACTTAAAATGAAAGAAACATGTGAAGAATAATAAGAAACCTTTTTGCTCTAAAAAGAAGAGATCTTGCAAATAGTAATAATAATGATAATTCCATATGGAATAAACGTATATTATTTGAACTAGATCTTCTGTTTACCTGTAGAAGCAGGTTTATCCAGGAGACCAACTTGGTCCTGGCCTGTATCAGGAATAGTGTGGCCAGCAGGAGTAGGGAAGTGATTGTGCCCCGGTACTCGGCACTGGTGAGGCCGCACCTTGAATCCTGTGTTCAGTGTTGGGCCCCTCACTACAAGAAGGACATTGAGGTGCTGGAGTGTGTCAAGAGAAGGGCAACGAAGCTGGTGAGGGGTCTGGAGCACAAGTCTTATGAGGAGCGGCTGAGGGAACTGGGTTGTTTAGTCTGGAGAAGAGGAGGCTGAGAGGAGACCTTATCGCTCTCTACAACTACCTGAAAGGGGGTTGTGGCGACGAGGGTGTTGGTCTCTTCTCCCAAGTAACTAGTGATAGGACAGGAGGAAATGGCCTCAAGTTGCGCCAGGGGAGGTTTAGATTGGATATTAGGAAAAATTTCTTCACTGAGAGAGTGGTCAGGCATTGGAACAGGCTGCCCAGGGAGGTGGTGGAGTCGCCATCTCTGGAAGTGTTCAAAAAACATGTGGATGTGGCGCTTCAGGACATGGTTTAGGGGACATGGTGGCGCTGGACTAATGGTTGGACTTGATGATCTTGAAGGTCCTTTCCAACCTAGTGATTCTGTGATTGAATCACGACAAAAGATGAGAAGGCATATGGTTTTCTTAACTGTGAAGTTTTTTGAGTCTCTTCTGAAATTTACAGTAATGCTGTAAGACTTGTGAATGGAAACTAGACAAAGGACACTGGCCAGGGTTTCAAACCATGAAATATCATATACTTTTTTGGGGGAGAGATCCAGGGTCTAACTATATTCCTTTCTATATCATGTCTGATTTGGCATAAAAATGCAACTACAAAATACCTGCTTTATACCACAAAATTTGCCTGAAGGTGTGTCAGGAATGAGGACAAAGTGTAGCAGGACTATATAATGTTAAAAGCAAGATTTTAATGTTTATTAAGTCATACATTTTAAATTAATCTTACAGTATGGCATAAAAAAAATTATTAAAATTGGCATTCCCAATTAAGGAAAGTAGCTTTTCTGGCTAAGAAAAATAATGTTCAGCATCCTTCTTCCTGTCATGGAACTCTACAGGAAGAGCTTCTCAATAAGGTCTTACTGAAGAGGATTGAAGAGGATGTTTCACTTGCACTCACTTAATCCACAGGCAATTGAAATATTAATTAAGTAAACCTGAATGGAAGCTGAACTTTGGGCTGCTGGTATGCTAAATATACTTAAAAATCCTACACATAAGCATGCATACACACCACATGACTGAGACACAATATATTTTTTCTGATTGTCTTCTGACCCTTACTGCAGTCTCCCTTCATGCTTCTGAGTGGATTTGTCTGAGCCTTAATAAATCTCCTGTATCTTTTGAGTGGCTTTTACTGCTTTTCATACATGGAAATGTTTCCAAAAGGGTGCTTATGTATGATGTTATTTCAGTGTGACCAGTATCCAACACGTTTAAGAAACAAGTGACACAATTATTGTGGTCCCCGGAATAAGAGAATTCTGTTGTGGAATTGAGCAAAGGCAGTAACATAATAATGATTTTTGTTTGGGCCATGGAAAGTGGAATATATCACAGATCCCCTCATTTCCAAGAGCCAGATTTTTTTTTTTTTAATCACTTAAAAGAAGAGCTAATGACATGGAAGCGTTCAGGTCTCAATTCGACAGAAGCATAGTTGTCAGTGTTCCTGTTGGATGTGGAAAATCCTCTTCACTAACACCTTTTACTTTGTTTAGCAGTGCCTGTCATAACCTCTAAACTGTGCTTTCTAGGGAAAGCTATTTACTGCAACTGACACAGAATGACACAAAGAAACAGTAGACTATTAGAACAGGCATGCTAAAGGATTCCTAAATCTGAAAATCCTGCAAAATTTTGGAGCTGTGATTAGCAACTACAATGTTAGAACGGTTAGCAGAGATCCATATCCCTGTCATTTTCTGGTTACTTCTATTCATAATTAATTTCTATGTGCAGGGAACTAGAGAAAGCAGAGAATGTAATGTCTTGTTCAGTAATAGCAGAACCATGATTTTTAAAAAGTTAATAACATGTTGGTAAGGAGTTTAAACCTAAATGATATTTCTCCCTTTTTTTTTTTTACTTAGAAAGTTTTCCAAAGGAAAAGTAATTTGAAAAAATACCTTGCATTGAATTCACGGCGTATAGAAGAACTGTAAAATATATTCAGAGTATTCAGTACAGATCATGATTTAGAACAATTTGTTTGCTTGGTGGTCTAAGACATAAAGGAGTGCAACCTACTCTTAGAAGTTGCTTATATAAAAATAATTTGAGACCCTTCTCAGTTCATTTTAAATTCTCTACTTATGTACCTCCTGCTGCTGTTTATTTGAAATTACCTTTCTTGAAAGCATTTGGGTAGAGAGAGATACAATCAGTTTCAGTTCCTCAGAGTGCTTTAAATGAGAGCATTTGGGGATCTGTAGAATAAAATGAGAACATCAAAACAAAGGTCTTGCTAAAAAAACTTGGAAAAAATGATGAAGCAGATTAAATATCATGTTTTGGTTTCCGCTTGCTGTTGTGTGTCTCAACTATTCAGAGACATATCTCTTCAGTCACTTATCAAATAATGCATTTGTATTTAATGGTTTCAAAAGAGGGAGAAATAAATCCAGTGTCTTTAAGAGACAAAAACTAGTAGGTTATCCTTTTGCTTTTCTCTAAATTACCTGATTATTATTTACATGTATTAGAGTACATATTTTTATTCCTCTTCTTGCTAAATCTGTGTTTCTGTTGTTTGTTTTGAGCACTGGGTTGCCTAAAAATTCCCTAAAGAATCACCTCTTTTTGATCCTTGTGCCTTACTCTCTTAATCTTTCTTTTCCCTGTAAAACCCTTCCTTACTGTGTGAAACTTCAAACCTTATTTTTCACATTTCCTCTATTTAGAATCAAGTATTGAAGTGACGGTTAGAACAGAAGGCAAAGAAGTAACACCTAGCCTCCAAACTGTTAACTGTTCCTTTTGTCTTTTTATATCAGGTGAAAACTTCAAATAAGAATGCTGATTCTTAAAAGCTTGATATCTTGTTTATTGTCTGATTACGTTAGGTAGATAACTTTTTCCTCTTTTCTATTTTTCATTGTGGCATAATTTAAACATATTAGTTAGTTCTCCATTAAAAATGTGAGTTTAAGTACTGTAATCAATAAGCTTGTGGGACTGTTGTTGCAAAGAACAGGGAAACTAGTGCGCAAAGAAACCAACAGTGCCTCTTCGTTTAGAGCTCAGCTGCTGGGTTCTGGGCTGATGCCCTGTGCAGAACAGTACATCCAGATCTCTGTCTTCTCTCTTGAAAAGGGTGTACAAGGAGGCACCAACCACACAGCTGTTGAACAGCTTGCATTATTTATGGGTTAACAAATATGCTGTCCCCTTAGTTTCCTTATCTGAAGTAAAATGCTTCTAAATATGAACGTTTAAGTGCTACTTGTGCAATGCATAACTGCTAAATTGAAATTACTATCCCAATGGTTTCATCTGACCTAATCTGAATTTATGAACAAAAATACTGGAAAATTATTACAGTATCTTTCCAGGAATGCTTTGGACTAACACATAATCTAGATCTCAAATTGTTACTATAAATTAATGTCAAGGAATAATCATCTCTCCTCCATCTGTTACCTAACCAAAACTTTCACAATTTCAAGTAAGGTTTAAAAGTAGATAAATATTGAAAAAAAAAAAAAAACAACCAAACTTTTGCCCTTCATGAAAATGCTTCCATTCAAATGGCCAGAGTTTCTGCCAAGGTATTTAGATGCCTGATTTGGAGCTTAAATGTCCCTTTTCTTGATATTGAAAGCAAAAAGAAGAAATTTCATCCAGTCAGTTTGCGACTATATGTTTGTTTGTATGATGTTATCAGATAGAGGAAGGGGCAAATGAATAATGACAAATGTGAAACTAAATAGATTAGGAATCTTCAGCTAGGAGATAAGACAACTAAGAGTGCCATGTGGCATAGAGGTCTATAAAATAATGAATGACATGGAGAAAACAGAGGGGGGGATCACTTGTGTATCTCTCCCAGTACAAGGTGTAAGGATTATTTTGGTAAAAAAATAATCTGATAGCAAAAGATGATGAAATGGTTCTCCTCGAGACATGTAGTTTAATCTGTGGAATTGCTTGCTGGGTGTGATGTGGGTATTAAGCATTTATTTAAGGTTAATTGGAAACTGGAAGTGTTTATGTAAGAGAAATCCAATGAGGATTATTAAACACATAGACACCACCCACCACCACTTAGGAGATCCGTGAACTGAAAATAGTCGATGACTGGGAGAGTTGATGGGGGAAGTGCTATATGTATATCTAAACTTCCCCTGCTAAGTATGCATCTGCTTTTGGCCATGACTTCAGGTGGCTGAACGTGATGGACCTGGGGTTTCATCCACTACAGCCACTCTTATGTTTGATGTAGAGCTACCCAGCATTACTTTTGACTTAGATTTTGACTCTTCTTTGAAACACAGACAACCTGTGAAAAACATAAGGTTTTTAAAAATATTCCAGTTGAAAACGTTTTTTGTTCCCTCTTTACATCCAAGTTATCAGTGTTAATTTTTGCTGTTGTCAAAATTATTAATTGTCTGGAAATATTTGTTAATTTTTAGTATTTAAAAAAATAATGTTGAAATCAGAATTGATCAACAGCATATTTAGGCTAATTTATGTTGAAATGTTTGAAGCTTTGATTTGTATTTTGTTGTTGAAGTTTCGGCTGGAAAATGTTCTTGGGATATGAAAATATTTTCCTGTTCAGCTCTAGTAAAAAGTCAAGTCAGCTCTTACTCTGGAAGAGGTGGACAAGAGCTAAACAGGAAATACAGATCAAAGGACTCAAAACTACACGTACTTGCTTGTAACATCGTGATTCAGAGCATTATTTTCTTCAATTTTATGTCTAAGGGACCGGGAGAAAATCTCTGTTACTTATGTCAATATCCCTTGGAATCATTTCACATGTACTGACACTACCATGACAGGTGTAAATTTTGATTTAAAAAAAGACAGTCTTGCAAAAGATATGACATTTTTGGAGTTATATTTTAGAATAGCTGTGCTGGAAGTTAGTTTTCTTCCTATGGCCTTCCTCTTTTTGCTGTGTGATCTTGCAGTGAAATCACTTGTTTGGTGCCAACTTGCTATTTCAGAAATTAAACATAACCGCTGGATCACAGCATTCCATAGGATGAAGAGAAATTAAGTATATGCAGCATGAACACGTGTTTGAAACTCAGGAAAAAAAGTAACAGGGAACTTAGAAGATTGAGAAGATAGAAAGATTAGAATCCTGAGAATATTAGCATAGAAAGGCATTACTGAATGAAACTCACTTGCTGGACCATGGGACAACCCTCCAGGCCAAACTGCTGCATAATAGCTATATTCCCTGGAAGGCAGAGCTTAGCTGGTGGGTGCAAGCGCAGGCACAGTTCATATGCACAGGCAGCCTTGTCTGCACAGGGAAGTTAGTGAATTGTAGGTTTACTTGAATTTTTGGTACTAGCTATTCTCATAAACTTCCCTTGTGAGTATTTATGCTAGCCACCATTCTGATACTCAGAAAAACACAAACACCTGTCTCAGTTTGCAGAAAGGCAGTGGGAAACGAAGTGGTCAGTGGTGCACAGAAGATGATGTTGTAGTGGAAAGGGGGGGGGAGGGGGCGGGAATGGGGGGGATTTCAATGAGTTTTAGCCTTAGGACTGTAGTAGCACTTACAAAGCGATGGGGTGGCTCTCCAGCACCGGGTAACCTGTTGGTTAAGTGTGGGAATCTGCCTTGTTTTTGAGGGTAGTTAAATCCCCATTTACCAAAGTGGCCTTTATTCATTTCAAGGAATAGAACTAAGCA